ACGCCGCTCCCCGCCATGAATGCACTGGCGTATTCTCAGGTATTGGCTCTGTGCAAAGCTTTTTCTGCAGACAGTGCATTGGAATGGCCGTTCCTCGGTGTGTGTGCGCTGATGTCTTCAGAGGTTTGAGCTGCGTGCAAAGCCCGTGCCACAGTCAGCACACCTGTACAGCCGATCCCCGCCATGAATGCACTGGCGTATTCTCAGGTATTGGCTCTGTGCAAAGATTTTTCTGCAGACAGTGCATTGGAATGGCCGTTCCTTGGTGTGTGTGCGCTGATGTCTTCAGAGGTTTGAGCTGCGTGCAAAGCCCTTGCCACAGTCAGCGCAGCAGTACGGCCGCTCCCCGGTGCGCGTGCGCCGGTGCTGCGTCAGTGCAAAGGGGTTCCTGAACCTCTTGTCGCAGTCGACGCAGTGATGGGGACCTTGGCTCATGGGGAGTCTCTGGTGTGTAGCCAGGTCTGGTCTCTGGCTGAGTTTACCCCAGGGATGGACGGTGTTCTGTGCATGGATTCCCCTGTGGGATATGGGATCCTGCGTTCCTGCCATGTTCTCCCCACATTCAGACCGTGTCCTTTTTCTTCCCGGTACCCCATGCCCTGCTGGAGAGAGCAGAGACAATCCCGGTGTTAGCTCATGTTTAGGGCTGCAGGTTTGCCAAGGATGGAAAATGTCACAGATGGAGCGATTTCCCCATTTGTCTGTGACTGTTTTTGGCGGCTCCTGTCCGACAGGGCGGGACCCAACACCTTGCTCCGGGCACTGAGACCTGGCCTGCGGGGTTCCAGTGCCACTCAGATTTGCCGGCACCTACAGTCATGATGGTGGGGGACAGGGGGGTCAAATTTCAGTGTATGGCCTTGCCACCCAGATCTTCTCTACCCCAGGGGTTCTCAAACTTTTTCTTTCCGAGGCCCCCCTCAACATCCTATAAAAACGCCATGGCCCACCTGTGCCGCAATAATTGGTTTTCTGCATATAAAAGCCAGGGATGGCATTAGGGGGTAGCAAGCAGGTCAATTGCCTGGGCCCCCAGGCTATGGGGACCCCCACAAAGCTACATTGCTCAGGCTTCAGCTTCAGCCCTGAGTGGCAGGGCTCGGGGACCTGGGGCTTGGGCTTTCTGCCATGGGCCCCAGCGACTCTAATGCTGGCCCTGCTTGGAGGCCCCCCTGAAACCTGCTCAAGGCCTCTTAGGGGACCCCAGACCCCTGGTTGAGAACCACTGCACTACCCCACACCAACCCCTCTGCACCAGGCCGGGGTTAGGGTTGCAGCTCTGGGAGAAGGGAGCTTCTTTGGGCAGCAAGTTCCCCCTGGGCAGGGCGAGGAGAAGGGCAGGTGTTGTA